TTCCAGACTGTCGCGGCAGAAAATTTTGAGAATAAGCTATTGATTAACTTATCTCAGCAAAAAGCAAGAGTCTCCATCAAACTTTATTGTTTCCAAAGGAATGGAAAAAGATGGAATAAAACCCACAAAAAGCATTCAAATTAAAAAAGAAAGACAAAAAAGTAAAGCAAAAATCAATGCACACTGAGAATAGGGTATGGTGGTTGGTTATGGAAAGGGGAGGTATTAGAACCCTTAACATCCATGGTACTCCATGGGAACCTCTTGAAAATTTGTGTTTGGTTAAAAAACAGCTGTTTGCAATATGTCTGGAGAGATGATTAGGAGGCAACCAAGTTGTGATCTTAATGATGATGCAATGATGCAAATGATATGGGATCTTAAGAGTAAAAATTAGGGTATGATAGATATGTCTTTAGGAAGTTCCCTCTGAGACATCTGACACCACTTCTCACACCAGGAATTAGACAGAAGGAGTGTATCAAATTAGAGTATGGCAAATTATTGGTTAAAAATGTGTAAACATCTTACCTAAGAGGGGACGATCAATAAGATTCATCTATGAGATGAAACATAAAACCCTAGACTATCAGTCACCCCAACAAGACGGTGCAAACCATGAGAACCAATCATATTAGAAGTGAAACAAACCAAATTAAAATCTCCAAGGACACAACAAATTTCACCTACCAACCACCCTCTATATATGCTTAAGATTTTATTTCCACATAACTCTCTTATCAAGAAGGGTACAACTAAAGTGATCATTAACAACAAAACATAAGGTTTTCAATGGGGGGGCACTCCAGGAAAATACTAATAACACTAAACTAGAAAAGGAAAACTAGGATCTTCCTTTAGCGCAACACCAGATGGAGAGAATGCATCCATTATTGCCAATCGTAGAAATAAAACTTCACTCACAAAATATATTTCTCTAAAGAGAATGAACCAATGAAGTAGAGACCTCACAAAGTTCAGTATCTTGAATTGCCATAAACTCTAGAGACTCAAAGGAATGAATTACTTCAATTTAGACTTCTTAATAGAACTTCCTAACTCACTGGCGTTAAAAGATCCTAACATCTAAAGACAACACCTTAAAGACCTAGAATACTTTTGGCGATGGTCTCTACTCTCTAGACCGAAAAGTCTTTCCACTTCTATATTCCCACTCAACCTAAAGGTACATTCTAGTTGTTTATCTATCTTTAGAATCTTCAAAGTAATTATAACATTGTGATCATTTGAACTACCAAGAGTCCTAGAAACTAACAAAATAGGACACTCCAAATAGGTAGCACAAGGAAGACGAACATCTCCAAGACTAACGAACAAATAAAGCCACGAGGTACTCATTCCTTTATCTTGAACAGACGTAGGAACAATGTCATGTAAACAAATACTTATAGAAATACAAGTTATATCAATGCTTGAAATTGGATGAAGATTGAGGTGTATAAGAATCAAGTGATTTGGAATAGATTCAACCATTGAGTCTGACGCCTGATATGACAAAGGTGGAAAAGCATGCTTAGAATCCAACTCATGCTACTGAAGACACAACCTTCCTTCAAGAGCTGAAGAAATTAAAGAAGAACTCGTAGCTAAATTAGAAACATCAATCCCTACTAAGGTGGGAGAATGATCCATCTCTAATTTCTAGGCAATAGGCAAAAGAGCAGAATAAAGGTCACCACTAGCCATTGAAGAAACCAAAGGAAGTGATAAAGGTAAAAAAAATGCAATTTTAAAGAAGTAGGTGAAGGTGTGAAGAAAACGCAAGAAAGAGGGGTTTTAATTGGGTTTTTCTTTCTTGAATAACTTTCGCTTCTAAGCATTAATCGTTGAACAATGTTTATGAGTGTTACTTATAAGTAATGCTTCTTATTAAGTTAAGAAAACATAAACTCTAAAGCATAAGTAAAAGTAAAGAACATGTGATATATCTTGGTTCACTTGAGAAACCCCCAAGCTAATCCAGTCCACCCCACTAAGGTGATTTCGCCTTGAACTCAAGAACTTAATCCATTATAACCAATCTGATTACAATCGCACAGACAACCGCTGATGAATAAAATCCAATGAAACATTCATTGATCCAAACTGGATATAACATTCATTTACCCAACAGAATATGATCCCTCGGAATCTCCTACTAGGATTTCCTTCCAATGATATCCATCAGTGATCTCATAAGGTTGGTCTTCACTCAGTATCCTTTGAGATATGACTATCATTGGTCCAATAGAATCCACTACCAGGATTTCATCTACGATGGTCGTAGCCAAAGTCTTCTTGAGAATTCTGACTCAACTGAGTCTCTCAAGGAACCATCAAACAACTGTTTGATTTACATTTGTTTACAATAATAGTGTTTCTACACAAGTTAGATGTAAACAGAATTAAGTACATCAGAAGAGCCTAATACACGCTAAAAGATATTACATTGTATTGTAGCTTTAATGTGTGGTCTTCTTTTCTTTAAGTGGCTTCTTCATGGATAACAGTCCAAAGCACTTGAATTGTTGAAGTCTTCTTCTTTATAAGCTTCTGGAAGATTTATTGATCTTGATGTAGTAAAGAAAATAACTTCTTCATCTTGATTCACCTTATAACATTATGGACAACATCCCTTATTCTATTTTCTGTAATGATCACTTTAGAGCACAACATTTGTGTTGTGGATGTGTAACTGGAGCTTTCATGATCATATTCATTATCTTATGCGGCTTAGAAAGCTTTGTGCAGCATATGAAATTAAGCACATTAAGAATCAATGATTTTATTGTAATCATTATCAATATGATTAAAGAATCATTTTGATAACAGTTGTTGTTATAGTGGATGATAACTTTTTGAATGTGTTCTAATAATGACAGTTTTTATTTTAGCATTGAACACCAATAAGATCACTAGTCATACGATTCTTTTCTTATATAGCCAAGTAAAATAGAGTCGTTGACTATTTGAAAAAAAATTACAAATAGTATTGCTACGTCCTTTTCTCTTCCATAAATCAAGCTAGTGGAGAGGTAGTGGAATAAGGTTTTTTCGTACTGTCTATTATTGTACCATGTTACCGTTATATTCTTTCCTTATGCACTTCAGAGGCTTCTGCGAGCATGAGTTCAGAAGCGAGAACATAATATAAGGTCTTCAGAACTTCAAGTCTTCAGAGTCTTCAGAACTGTGTCTTTAGAGTCTTCAGCATTTGGTCTTGAGAATCCATTGTAGAGAACCTTGGATATTTAGAACTTCAAATCTTTGGAATCTTCAGACCTTCCGTCTTTAGAATCTTTAGCACTTGATTCTTTAAGAATCCTTATCTTTATAACCTTGGGTCTTTAGAAACACAAAGTCTTCAGCATCTGAACTTCAGTAGAAATATTGTCTTTAGATCTTTTAACTTTGTCTTCTTTGAAACAAGTTGTCTTTTAGAAACTAAGTTTTTAGCATCTGGACTTCAGTAGAAAATTTGTCTTCAGGTCTTCTAACTTTATTTTTTTGGAACACACTGTCTTTAGAAACATGAGCCTTCAGCATTTGGACTTAAGTAGCAACTTCTGTCTTCAAATCTTCTGATTGTTTCCTTAGAACACGTTCTCTTTAGAAGTTTGAGTTTTTAGCATCTGGACGTAAGTAGAAACTTCTGTCTTCAGATCTTCTGAGTGGTTTCTTTAGACAAACATCAGAGCTTATACTTCAGAGTCTTTTAGAGTGTCTTGTTATTCTTCAACAGAACTTGTGTAGCATAGAAGCGGAATTAATTCTCTTCTAATGTCTTGGCAACGCCATCCATCACAAGCAGAACTTGTTTGTTAAGTACTCAACAATAACAAACATTAAAGTATCAAAATTGTTCATACAAACATACTTATTTGTTATCATCAAAACTCAGAGATAATATTACAGAATCAAATTTTATTCTTACAGTAGAGTGTTGTTTGAAAGATGCAGGAGTGCAAGCACTAAAGCCCCAAACAAAATTTAAGTTTTAAAAAGCTCAAATAATCTCCAAAAGCTTATTTCACTTTATCAATTACTTACACAATATTAATTGCTTTTCTTAAGGACACAATGTTTCTATGGTCAAAGACTGTACGACTGAACAGTAATTAAGATAAAATAAACAAACTAAACTAAATCATGATGGGTTTGTAAGTTGCAACTCGCTTCAATTCAATACCTAAAAAAAAAACATTGCTTAGCAATGTTTTTCCATTGCTCTTTCTGTTTTGCAATAATAAAGTGGAGTAAAAAACATTCTCTTTTTAATACCTAGCTCCAATAAAAGTGGACCCATGAAGGATAAAGAAACCAAAGTACTCCCCCTGCCTTATTTATAACAAAATTCTTCACAAAACAAAATGGTCTTAAATATAAATAAATGTCAATCAATTTATACCTGCATTAATTACTCAATATTGTTAGTAAATCAATTTAATGAAAGGTATATTAATAATTATATCATTTCTCTTATATCAAATCAAGAAAAATTAAATACAGTTAACTATTTTTTTAATAAACATTAATATATGCTAGCTCAAAATGTTTAATCTTAAACGAGAACATACATAATTAGAAACAAAGACATACCCAACAAACATGTCACAACAAACTTATTTGACTTACTTTACATCACATCAACCTCAAAAAAACAGATCACTTTAATTTCATCATAGTGCATTAGCTAATTAAGCAAAATTCTTTGCTTTTCATCATTCATTACCTCCCTTCTCCTACACTTAACCAACTAACTAACACCACCACTATACCTACTTTCTTACCATATCTCCTTTTCTCCTTACACTTTAAGAAAAGTAACACTTTTCTAGTGGAATCATTATAAGTTTTGATCAACTTCATGAGCCACAACAACAACTAAAAGTAGGTAATAGACTTACTCTTACTCACCCTTTACCTTAACTTCTTTTATAAATATTGTTTTAAAAAACTATAGTTTTGTTCATTATAGTTAAGTAGAAGAAGAAGAGAGAATGAGTACAGCTAGGTTTATCAAATGTGTTACAGTTGGAGATGGTGCTGTTGGAAAGACTTGCATGCTTATATCTTATACAAGCAATACCTTTCCCACAGTATGTTTCTGTTTTCTTGTTGTAGATATAAAGTTCAAATAAGTGATTGTGAGGATGAATCTAACTTTTTTCTTGATATGTTTTCTCTATGATAGGATTATGTTCCAACTGTGTTTGACAATTTCAGTGCTAATGTAGTTGTGGATGGTAGTACTGTTAATCTTGGTTTATGGGATACTGCAGGTTAGTTTTAAAGTCAAATTTCGATGAGGTTAAATTTTGCTAGTCTTTTTTGTCTAATAATATCTACTAGAAACTCGCACACACAAATGTCATTGCTAGAGTTTGAATCCTAGTGATGACGTTTAACCTATCAATATCGGTTTCTGTGAGTTGAGTTAGGATTTGCGAACACTTTCTGAGGTTATTTATTGGTGTGATTTGTGTGGATTGCAGGACAAGAAGATTACAATAGACTAAGGCCTTTGAGTTATAGGGGAGCTGATGTGTTTTTGTTGTGTTTTTCTCTCATCAGTAAAGCAAGTTATGAGAACATTTCTAAAAAGGTTCTTGCCTCTCTACAATACCTTAGAATTTATATTAGATTTCTATTGTTTTGTTATTGTAATAATAACATTTTTAGTTGACAAACAGTGGATATCTGAGCTGAGACATTATGCACCAAATGTGCCAATTGTGCTGGTAGGAACAAAACTAGGTAAGATAATTCCATCATAGTAGAATTTCAATCACCATCTTCATTTAAAAGTTATGAAAATCATCTTTTTCTTCTTTCTCTTTATTAGAACAAAATGACAAATAATATAATTGGTATACCAACTACCAAGCCTAAAAATTTACAAACCAACTTCTTCTTTTTTTAATCTTAATGTATGCTCAGATTTGCGAGAGGACAAGCAGTTTTTTCTTGATCATTCTGGAGCCACTCAAATAACCACTGCTAAGGCAAGTCCTCGTAAAATAAATTATTCAAAAAGATGTCTATATTTGAAACCAATTACTATTTTGCATTTGTAATGGATTTAACGAGTGATTGTGGTGAATAGGGTGAAGAGTTAAAGAAAATGATTGGAGCAGTTTCTTACATTGAGTGCAGCTCTAAAACACAGCAGGTAAAATTGTATTGCAGCACTTGTTTTTTGGATTCAATTATCTGTTACGTCATATTTTGAAGCAAATGTGGGTTTTGTTTTGGTTACAGAATGTGAAGGTAGTATTTGATGCTGCAATAAAGATTGCATTGAGGCCACCAAAGCAAAAGAAGAAACCACGCAAGACAAGAACATGTACTTTCCTCTAGTATAGGAGGTGTGAAAATAAATATAACTACTACATTTTAAATATTCAGCTATATTTCATCTAGTGGCCCAACATCATCTATATAACAGAATTAAAACCATATGCTTTAATGTTTTGTTTGTAATTCTAATAATAGAGATAAAAAGTTTAAGGGGTTATGCATGATCTCAGTGAAGAATTGTTGAATTAATTATTTTTCTTTTATTGTGTCTAGTTGCTCTTGTTGTTTTAGATATAATTCGTTCAAGAATTAATAAGACAGTAGTAATGACAAATAAAATTAGATAGGTCAAACTAAAAACCATTGATAAGACGTTCAGAACAACTACAATATTACAATATTAGATTCTTAAGAAATTGAAACGGTTTGTGATTAACTATATGATGAAAATATCTACACAAACCCTAAGATCAAGAATTGAACAAGATCAAGCACGCTCGCCTCTAATACGCCTTGCGAGCTGGATATCCTTAGGCATGATTGTCACACGCTTGGCGTGAATTGCGCAGAGGTTTGTGTCCTCAAAGAGTCCGACGAGGTAAGCCTCAGCCGCTTCCTGGAGTGCCGACACGGCGGAGCTCTGGAAACGGAGATCAGTCTTGAAATCCTGAGCAATCTCACGAACAAGACGCTGGAAGGGAAGTTTGCGGATCAAAAGCTCTGTGCTCTTCTGGTACTTGCGGATCTCACGGAGAGCGACGGTCCCTGGCCTGAAACGATGTGGCTTCTTCACTCCTCCGGTGGCGGGAGCAGACTTGCGAGCGGCTTTGGTTGCCAGTTGCTTCCTTGGGGCTTTGCCGCCGGTGGACTTGCGAGCGGTTTGCTTTGTACGAGCCATTGAAAAACAACAGAAAACGGTTACAAAAAGATTATAATTTGAGATTTGTTTTCTGTTATGCTTTGCGAGTGATGGTTTTCGAAGTGTAGAAACTGGTTCATTATATAGTGCTGATTTTGTGCGGGTTTTGAAATTTGTTATGATTGTAGCCGTTGATTTAGATTGGATAATCGACGGATGATGTTTGTTTGAGTAGTTGAGCACGCGGATTAGTGACGTGGCATATAATAGAGTTTGAAGCGTATGATAGTGATCGTTGATCTAGTAATGATGAAAGGTTGAGATTGAGTTTGAAAGAGTGACGCGGATCGGTGGATTTTTGGTGGAGGCAAACCAAAATCAAAATATAGGAAGGAAAATTTGTCTTTGGCGGGTTTCGTGTTTTTTATTTGGGCAGGTTTTGAAAATGAGTCTTATGAATTATATAATTTTATTTTGAGATTATGGTTGTTCAATGGCAGATTATTGTTTAATTTTATTTTTTAAAATCTTCATTAGTCTTGACAATTTCAACTTCTCCTTAAAATAAAACTCTTCTTGTTGTAGATATTTTTTTCAATTATTTTGTTCATCATTTATCATCGATAGAGCTCACCATTTCAAAAGTATTATCATAAAATATTGAGTTAAATATACAAAATCCTGATGTATTCTTGTTAGTTGTTCTAAAATTGTTGTGCATATGATATTTATAAATATTTTTATTTTTTTTTAACTTTTAACGTGAGACTTGATCGTACCTGATCATAAGGGATTGTCAAAGTTCACGAGTTTCAAGTCGAGCAGCAGTTGAATGTGAAGTGGGGGAAGTACATGCAAGACACTCTGATGTCAAAGTAAGATTCAGAGCTATGCAAGCAAGTATGAAAGTAAGAATGAGAGATTGAATACATGACCCTCTCAAAGGAGAGGGTATTTATAGCCCCCAGCGATGGGCCAAGATCCTCATCGTTAGGCTGGGCAAGCAGGCCCAAAATGGAGACTATCAAGTCCTACGTGCGTAGTGGGGGCCAGCACGTGGTCCCCACCCTAGACGGACTCCTCCGAACTATCAGGAGGATATGGATACAGTTTTTTCGGGATCAAGAGGACTCTGATATTCGAAGGTGTTGAGAGTCATCCCTACAAGGAGAATACTTGTGAGGTTCTTCTGCCCGTCGTGGACCATCCCCGCCAGCTACGAGGTTGTCCCCGGAGGACTTGTCTTGGTTGGAGAGAGGAGTGGAGAATGCTTGTGGGGTCCTCCAGACCGTCTTCGGCCTTCCTCGCCATTATGGGGTTATCCATGTCGACCAAAAGAATGAGGTGACTGCGCGACCTCATCGAGGATAGAATTCTGTCAGCATGCTTTCTCGCGTAGCGCAGTCGAATTAGGCCTTGTATGTTGTTTGGGCCAAGTGCAGGCTCAGTCCAGAACAGGAGCCCCCAAGTCGTTGCTCCTGATGAAGGAGTTATGACTTAAATCCAACTTCTCCTCACGACGAGCATAACTTAGCTGGGGGTCTTTCACTGCGTCGAAGGAGGGGCCGTCAGTACACTTGGTTACTCGAGCAGGGGTTGGAATTAGCTTCACGGGGAACATTTCAGTTGTTCCTCGACATGCGGGGAGAGGAAAGTTCGTAGGATGTGGCCACGTGGCGTGGCCTTTGGGATAGAAACGATGGTCTAGGAAGTAGGGGTCATTAGGACCTGAGCGCGTATGTGGCGAGGAGAAGGGTGGTTGGTGCATTGTCGACGTGACACTTCATATTCCATGTCAGCTCTATAAATAGGGCCTCAAGACTCATTTGTAGTATTCCAACTCTCGCTCTCTCCATTCTCTATGTCGCCTTTGGTTCCACGCCATTTGTTATTTTCTTCAATCGCTAACACTGTTGCAACCTCTGTCGCGGACTTCCCATATTCCTCGATCAAGTAAGTGTTTCCAGTATTGTTTATTATTTATGATTGATAAATCTTTGGTGAATTTCGCTACCGCTGGGGTTTTGTCTTGGGGTGTTCATACATCCATTCGTAATAGTCACGAATGTGCCTGCAAGATTCATCTGGACCCCATAATATTCATGAATTTGCCCGTGAAATTCATTTTCTCCCCGTGAAATTCAATAATTTTTTCGTGAGATTCATTTGTTCCCCGCGGAATTCAAGAAATTTCCCGTGAGATCCCTCTGTTCCTCGTGGAATTCGTGATTTTTCCAGGAAAATTCATCTGTTTCCCGCAAAACTCGTGAATTTTCCCGGAGGGTTTATCCCATACATGTGGTGCTCATGAATATTCATTATGTCTTTGTCATCGTCGTGCAGTTTGTTTGAGGCGTGCATGAGCTTCATGTGGTGCTTATGAGTTGTTATTTGTTTCTCATTGCACGAGGGTTCGTCGACCTTGTTTGGTCGCATCAGCCCCGTTTCACTTGTGTTGTGGTGGAAGGGTGGATTTGATTTAGCTGTCGAATTCACCGGTTTCCTATGCTTTACATGTGAAATGGGTGAAATCTTCGAGTCGTTCGAGCAGGTCGAGGTGGAAGAGACAAACGTAGCCAACGAAGGAGTCCATTTGGTCGAAACGATCGATGACTCGTCACTATCCTGGGTCGGGCCAGAACCTCGGGGAATAACCTCGGTCTTTAGTTACACTAGAAGGGAAGTGTGCATCATTGTTGATTATGGCGGGGATCAAGAGGGATTTCGTTGTAATTTCACGATCATGTGAACGATGCCTATGACCAGGATATGCTCGGAATTTGAGGAGGGTCATTTCCCTATGTACGAGGTCATTTTCAAGGATTTGGGGCTTCGTCTACCCTTTAGTGACTTCCAGATGGATGTGTTTAATCACTTGAACTTGGCGCCTTCTAAGCTACACCCCCACGCGATCGCTTTCATCTGAGCATTCGAAATTACTTGTCGGTTTTTGAGGATCGGAGCGACGATTCCCTCGTTCTTCAAAGTTTTTCATCTCCAAAGGCATACCAGGGGAGGTAAACACAACTGGGTTTCCTTCAAATAGTCGAAGAGGTTGTTTTGGATGTATATGGATTATGTTCGCGATTTTAAGGATAAGTGGTGCGTCATCCAACCTCGTCTCAAGATGCCGTGGACTCGGTGTTAAACGTGGTTTCTCTCATGGACGAGAGCGGGGTAGTGTGCTACGATGGGGATGGGAACCCAGAGATTAGTAGATTATCAAAGTTCTCTATCCACTGGTGTTCGGGCCACTACAAGCATAGTCCCGACCATTACCATACCCCCGCCGGTAACATGAGTGACGAGAACGAAGAGGCCTTCGATGTTCTCAATCGGTTCGTCGACAGGTTCTTTCCCTCGAGGTGGGTAATAAGGGAAGGAAATGATATTATTAATGAAGACGGCGAACTTACATTTGAGGCGCGCCCGATCAACACTGAGGCGCTCGTCAAGTGTCGTACCTACGAGCAAGTCGTGAACTTTCTAGGTTTCTGACCGCGTGATCCTATTGTATTTTTACTTCTTGATTTATTTTGGATATGTCCTTCTAACGAGACTGACTCGAGCATGTTATTTTTATTTTTGCATGTAACATGGTCGAACATTGCAAACGTCTTCTGAAGTTGACTTAGGAGAAGAAAAACCACAAAAGTTTGGTGAAGCCTAACAGCCTACACGCCTTGGCCCAACTGCTGAACCGACCAGGGATGGATCCAATGGCTCGTCGGATCATTGTGTGTTTGTGGCGGGGGAAAAGAGAGGTTGTCCAGAAAGCGGGCTTGTTGATACGGTCGCGGGGGGTTCAACTGCTCGGGCCTTCCTTCTTCCTCCTTGTTTTATGGAGAAAGACTTCTTCGAGGGTTTTCCCTTGACTGGGTCTGATAATGAATCTGACGTCATCAGACGTCTTGATAAGGAAGGTCAGAGGTGACATCTGGTGTCGGGCATGACAGGTATGATGAAGGTCGCGGAGATGGTTGTTGTCCTTGCAGGTGAAGGTGTCAGTTCCTATGCACTGGCGAACAAATTAGAGTTGGAGAAGGAGGCCCTCCAGGAAAATACGCAAAGGTTAAAAACTGCCCTCGAGCGAAGCAAGGAAAAGTTTAGGGGGCAGGCTGATGGGTTGGCAAGGGAGAAGGAAAAAGCGGTCAAAGCCTTTTAAGAAAGGGATTCCCTATAGGAACGCCTGGAGAATGAG